CTGCAGCAGTCATCGATGTATCGGCAGTACATTAATGGTAAGCGCGCTAATACCGGCTCCTCAATCTTACTCATGTAACAAATCGCGAGAACTGGAGCGAGCCTCTGGCCCATCGCAGGCCCTCTGTTCTGAGAATAGTAATTCCCCGACCACTTGAATATGTTACAATTTAAGCATTCTCTTATGAGGAGCAGTATGCATGCTTTGCTTAAGCCAAAGGTTACCATAGTGGAATGATATTCATCCAGCATCTCCGACAGAGCTTGTAAAGCGTAATTGTTTTGAACATTGGTGTATAGTGACGTTACGTCAAAGGACTCGACAATACTACCAGGTACAAAACTCATGCTCCGCAGCTGCTGTACAAATTGCTGAGTGTTGGACAAATGCGCAGGTACCTTGGCTAGGAGCTGGCTTACAATCTTATTCGAAAGCCAAGATCTTCGATCAGTCGGTCCACTTACGCAGCTTATTATAGGGCGGATCTTATATGTGACTGTGGTGACGTCGACTGTGATTCGCTCGCCGCTAACTTGTGGGTCTTGATCAAGTGGTAGAAAACTGGACACCTTGGGTTATCCACTTTCAATCTGTTGATAAGCTTTCTATCAAGACCGGCAGACTTTGCGGTCAGGTTTGAAAATACTTACGGATGTGTTTGACTTTCTCTGGTTCGGTACATCAGTTTCACAGGGGTTTTAAAACACTCACAACATATCCTTATGATTGAAGAGAAGTGAAGTACCAATTTCTTTACATATCTCTATAACTCTAGCTAATCTCAACAAAATCTTCAAAATCTCAGTCTTCACGTTCCTGATATTCTCTTCATCACCGAGACTTGGTTCAATTCCAACATTTTTGATTCCATAATCACCTGTAATCTTCCGTATTCTCTTCATCGTGTCGATCGGCCTGTTCGTAGGGGTGGGGGAGTATGCTGCCTAATCAAAGAGGATTTCGCAGTGAAACGAATAAGGACTGATGATGGGCACAAGTGGGACATGCTTGGCTTGGATCTTTGGTCAGCTTGTTCTCCTTCTCCACTTAGATCTATCCTTATTTATAGACCACCCTCATCCAACGTTCACGACGATACTATTCTAACTGATAGTATAATCGACTTATGTGCTGGTCCGCTACCAGCTGTTGTACTAGGGGATTTCAATACTAATTTCCTCTCTGAATCTCTCCTCACCGATGCTCGTTTTCTCTGCTCTCTTCGCGATGGTAACCTCACTCAACATGTGACTTTTCCAACTAGAGGAAACTCAGCCATAGACTTGATTTTCTCAACTCACGAAATAGTTCAAAATGTCAAAGCGCTTCCCCCGTTTGGCTCTTCTGACCACAATGTACTTTCTTTTGATATTACCTTCATTTTCACTGAAAAAAATATTTACCCCGTTCCCTGATTTTCGTAGGGCTGATTTCAAAGAATAAGTAGGTCTCTGCAGAATATTGACTGGTATGTGACTTTTGACAACTACGAAAACGTTGATGACCTCTACCATCGCTTTTGTAGAAAGCTATACTATATTTTTTCTCAGCATGTGCCTTTCCGTTTTGAACCATCTCAACAAAGGACATATCCTGCTCATATTAAAAATTTACTTGAACAGAAAACTAGACTTTTTTCGACTTTGCATGATCCTCTAAATCACCATCTCTACAAAAAAGTTTGTCAAGACATCAACTATCACGTCAGAAAGTTTCTAGCTAATCGGGAACGCCGCCTTTCCAGATCTAATTACAAAGAAATTTATGCATATCTCAGGAGTAAGGTAAAAGGAAGTCAGAAACTTTCTGATCTGATAGATGAAAGTGGTAACATACTCAAGAATGACAGGGAAAAAGCAGAAGCATTGGGCAACTTTTTTGCTTCCTTTTCCGCAAATCCAGAAACTAGTAGAGGCATGGAGTTACCTCATCCTCCCATTGTCCGTATAAATGCTCGTTGTGATGAAATATGCATTGATCCTGCAAAGGTTTTTGGAATTTTGAGTAAATTGCGTCCCTCTACTACTGTCGCATACGATGGTATTCCTCAAATTATCTATCGCAAATGCGCCCAAGCTTTGGCTTTTCCCCTGTCGCTAATATTCAATGTTTCAATGATAACGGCGAAGTGCCTAAGCTTTGGAAAGAAGCTTTAATAACGGCAATACCCAAGTGTGAACGCAATAGTGCGCTCCAAAACTTCAGGCCTATAAGTATTACTGCTCCTGCAGGGAAAATCCTCGAAAAACTTGTCAAAGATAAACTGTTTGACTGGTTAGAAAAAAACAATATTCTCCCTTCCGTTCAAATAGGTTTCCTTCCCGGGGGCTCTACTACTGCATTACTTTCAGATACAATTTTTGACTGGATCAGTGCTGTAAACAATAATAAATCAGTGGATGTTGTATTTTTTGACTTATCGAAAGCGTTTGATAGAGTTGAACATTCGAAATTACTTTTCAAGCTTGAAAATTACGGAATTCGCGGACAATTGCTCAGCTGGTTTGCATCTTACCTCCATGACAGAGGCATGACTGTTCGCGTTGGAACAAGCTTTTCAAGGCGGTTTCCCTGCAGAAGCGGAGTACCTCAGGGCGGCATACTTTCGCCACTTCTCTTCCTCACATACACCGCGGAATTACCTTCACTTCTCAAAACCCATCCAAATATCAAAATACAGATTTTTGCCGACGACATCAAAATTTACTTCTGCTATAAGGATAAAGAACGACATGAAGCATACACTGCAATCGCTTCTTCTATAGAAAAAATGATTTTTTGGTCAAAGCAATACAATTTACCCGTAAATGCGCTTAAAACCAAAGTGATGCATCTTGGTAATTCTCCTACTCAAACTTATATGTGCGATGGCATCGAGCTGGAATATTGCAGTGGCACTAAAGATTTAGGAGTTTTCGTTGACAACCAGCTCAGGTTTTCTTAAGCTGTTCCAAGTTCTACCAGCCGTAACTTCCTTCAAGATGAACATTTTCGAAATCGGAAAGCAGAATTGTGTTCAGCTCGTCAAGGCGAATCTTCCGATATACAGCATGTCTTTGAAATTTTGTTTCCAATTTTTTCAAACTTTTCTGCGCGCGTATATTCGCAAGGTCGCAACGCAGCGCACATCAAACATAATAGACTCCAATAAGGACTATTGGATTGTGCTGCTTCCGCGGATTACCGAGCGCTAAAAACAAACCTTGGAATCTTTTTCAGAAAACATAGAAGAGCTGGTGAATTCTGGAAGAATCGTGTTCTCTCAAATTTTGCCCACTGTAACCCCAAAATGAGAGCTCTACTGCAGCAGATGTGATTTTCGTAATCAGCAGGTCAGATAACCTCTATGAGCAAGTTTTCAAAGAAATTCGGGTGATTTGATTTTTTCTCGTTCTACGCCCTGAAGCTCGCCGATGGGTTTTGGTCAAAATGTCGATGATCTTGGATTATAAGGAAACTTCGCTCAAAGAGGTTATCTGACCTGTTGATTACGAAAATCACATCTGCTTAGCAGTAGAGCTTCTCATTTTGGGGTTACAGTTGGCAAAATTTGAGAGAACACGATTCTTCCAGAATTCACCAGCTCTTCTATGTTTTCTGAGAAAGATTCCAAGGTTCGTTTTTAGCGCTCGGTAATCCGCGGAAGCAGCACAATCTAATAGTTCTTATTGGAGTCTTTTACGCTTGATTTGCGCTGCGTTGCGACCTTGCGAATATACGCGCGCAGAAAAGTTTGAAAAAATTGGAAACAAAATTTCAAAGAGATGCTGCAATTCTGCTTTCGGATTTCGAAAATGTTCATCTTGAAGGAAGTTACGGCTGGTAGAACTTGGAACAGCTTAATTTTTCCTGAGTTTATCAGCTCTTCTATCTCCTTTGAAAGAGAGTCTCCGGCTGCTGTTTAGCGCAGAATGATCTACTGAAAGAGTACTATCGAAGGGTGCGCACGGCAGTCTCCTATGTGTGATGCTCGGTGCGTTACACCCATGCGAAGAGGCGTCGGCATGCAAATTCAAGATTCTTGAAAACAAGATATTGGAGACAACCTGTATATCAAAAGATTCGCCTTGACGAGCTGAATACAACGTTGTTTTCGGATTTTGGATATACTCATTCGGAAAGAAGTTATGGCCCTGCGTAATTTGCGTGATTCACATGAATGTCGCGAAATTCCGGGAATGTCGCGAAATTCCGGGAATGTCGCGAAATTCCCGGAATTTCGCGAACCTTCGCGGAATTACCGAAATTCTGCGACATTCACGAAAATTTTGCACATTCTGTGAGCGGTATTGTATTCGTAAAAGTATATTCTTCAGAGACGACTCCTATCCGAAAACACACGTATGATTGATCCAAGGCCAAAATGGGCAACCAGCTAAAATTATTTCATCAGATTATAGCAAAAAAACAGAAAATTGTTTACCAAAGAGTACCATGTGAGCAAAGTTTGGCAGAGGGCATTTTCTGGTGTTATTTCCATAGCTTTATACGCAAACTTCATGAGAATATCATTTGACGTTGGAAAGCCTCTGTAACATGCAAATTAATGTTGTAAGAATGAGAAGCAGTGTAATCATCACCTTTAAGACAGCATCCATTTCACTATATTTGAATGAACCAAGCACTTTCGCCACTAGAATCGTGGCTTTGTCTTTTACAGCCTGAAGCCGCCCACAATTAGAAAAATAGCTCAATGCGAGTTGAGTGAGTTTCTAAGCAATGATCTTTCAAAAAAAACCAGTGATGTGCTAGCATCAGTTTGCATTGCGAAAAACAACAGTTTGAACAACAACAGTTTATTACTTGAAAAGGGAACAGTATCGCGAATTTTGGTGTTCAATTTTTATACATAAGCTAAGAACGGATGCTGAGAAAGATGTAACATGTGATGCAGGAGCAACACTCTAAGAAAAATACAAGGGTCCGAACATACTTGTAGAAGCTGCAATTTATGATATGACAACAACAATGTTGAGAAAAAATCTTACCTGATTCTTACATTAAAGCGGAGGATTCAGAAGTGCTGCATGCAAAGCATTCTCGAATCTGTTGGCTTGCAGAAAGGAAGTGACTGTGCGCTCGTTTGGGCCAAGTCCAAGAGTTTCTCCAGCTAAATTTCAGTTATTTCGACAAAGTTTAGGGCATACAAAGATATTAAGGTCGTCATAGTTCTGCCGGTTTAGGTGAGGCAGGTTTGCAAACCTCTGAACCGCTCGTTACACTATCTGCCATCAAGTTTCGTAAAAGCGTATCATATCAAAGATAGAAAACTAATTCAGAGGAGTAGGAACGATGGGGAATCATGTTGCTAGCATTGCAAGAGCAATGACTTCACTTGGTAAGGGACACAACATACCTATTCAGCGTATTCACTAGGAGCGAATGAACCTTCAACTGATAAAAAGAGCGATCACAGAGTTGCATGTCAAATGCTATTCCAAAACCGTCTGTCCTTTCCACTTATGATTACATTCTCTGGCCATCATTTGTCACCTCCTTTTGCATGGCGGGGATCAAAATCAGAGCAGAACGACTTAGTTCGATTTTAGTCCAGAGTGTTTAGACACATAAATTTTGCAGAGAAATGTCAAAAATGAACACGGCTTTCTGAATGATTGAAAAACATTTTTTCGTTGAATATTTATTTTAGTCACAATTAGCGTGAGTGTTTTTGCTCGTATTATGTCAGAAAGGAAGCCGTAATTCTCGAAAATCATTCCGTATAACGATACATTAGGAACGGGAAAGAAAAAAAGAGATGCAGAATGACTCACCATCCTCGTTTTCGTCGTAATTCTCTGGATCATACGCATCTACCTCTATTTTGCGATAACTGGTGTTCTCCATATTCTTCGCCATTTTGTCAGCTCTAAATAAAAAGATGTTCAAGAATGCTGAAAAGCGAGAAACTATTGGAACTGTGCGAAGAAAAAGATCCCTCATAACCGATATCAATCAAAAGAATTGCAGAGTTACGCATCATGTGATATTGCGAAACAAGAAGACAACGGCGAAAAAACAAACAAGTTTCAGTGGGACGAGATAGCTTCATTAGGTCGTGGATGTAATGGTTGTGATGTGATAGTTAATGGACCCAAGTTCAAAGAGCTTGCCGCGCTCTAGGGCGAAAACGTGACCGAGTGCGAAGTGAGCCGGAGGAAATAGCTGTGCGCCTCGAATACGTCCCTTTCTTTTGCGAGTGAAATTCTGGGAGATCGCTAACCGCTTGAGAAGGAATCAAACATGTCTTCACAGTAAAAGATTTGATCGAGGCATGGCGCGAGTTTTTGCGTAATATAGAACATTTTTTTGGGGTTCATGTTACATTCTTGAATAAATATGAAAAGCTTTTAAATTTTGGAAGTGGATGTTTGAGCTCTGCGCACTAAGTTCCACACTCTGAAATTAATTCTTTGGTGATCTAGCACTCTGCGGGCACCCAATGGACTATATGGTGATTTATCCTGCCCTTAACAAGTTCCTTAACATGTATGTTTGAAGGGCGTGCCGCTTCTGCGATACACGTGTTTAATTGCACAGTTTGGAGCTTTGTTATGTCTAACATAAAGCTACATAAGCAGAAAGTCAAAGTATTAGGCGTTCCATTATTTCGTAGCGTTTTCATTTTTGTCCCCATATCTTTGAGGAGCGGTTTATTTGCGGCAAGGGCTAGATCACCAAGAAAAGGGCTAATTGTGCTCTTCAAAACGTGTCTACTAATTCCAGTGGAGAGCTGATTTGCTCGGATCTTGCAGCTTCCAAAGGAACTTTCGAGAGGCAGAAGAGAGCAATTTCGATCTTACATTTTTCCTTATGAAAAGAAGGAACTCGCACATATTTTTTTTTGTCGATTATGAAACATGGCGCTCAACATCTGGATTATCAATATGAGACAAAAAGGATTGGATTGCTACAAAAATCAAGGAATGGGCAGAGTGTCCCTAAGCAAGACTTTTTGGAGGACGGCAGGAGGTCCTGCACTGAAAATTGGTGTACAAGTAAACGTTTGTCAACCACAAAGCAATCCAACTGCGTCGTCTAAACCAGCTTTACCGCAGAAAAAGCATGATAGACAGATCAAGTGAGTTTTTCTGCATGACGAAACATGGCCTCATACGGGAAACGCCGTCAAAACTCTCCTGCATGATTGACTGCAAGGTACTTCAAAACTCAAAGTGCTCTCCAAACCTCGCTCTATCAGATTATCATTTCTTCCCCTCTTTCGCAACCTCATGAATGGTGCATGGCTCGATTTCAGTGAGCAGTTTAAGCGCTGGCTAGACGACTTTCTTGAGACCCGGCGCGCTGCCGTTTGAAAATTTGAGGTTGAAAAGCTAACAAGAATCCGCAAAAAGGTCGTGGGCTACAACGAGGAATATAACATTGATTGGGATTTAGTGTAAATGATTTTGTTGGTTTACAAAAACGCTATGAACTTATGGAACGACCTGATATAAACTTCCTTTGTAATGACGTCTACAAGTTGCAAAAAATTTCTTGGAAGCTCGATTGAACTGCTAATCACCATTGCGTACTTGTCATTGAATAGTTCGATGGTTCGCTCAGTAATTATCATAATTTATAATAACGGGCTAAGGGTTGTTTACGTGTTTTTGTGTGTGTGTGTGTGTGTGTGTGTGTGTCTGAATGTCTGTCTGTCACGAAATTCATAGCGCGAGTTCCAGCCAACGTTCTGAGCCCAAATTTGTATAGTGCATGCTACCAGCATGAAAGTCCACCGTGCGAAAGCGCGAGCGGATTTGTTAGGTGGATCCCTCAGAAATTGCGCGTCAGCTGGTTCCAATTGGCTTTTGGCCCTCATAATTGGATCCGTATCACAACTTTTTGCAAAGTCGTGGATGTGCTTGGCATCTCAATGTGCAAGCCATGGGTTTTGGTCCAAAAAAGGGATCAAAAGTCTACTATTCTACAAAAACGACGCCGAAAAGTATTGATTGCTAGATGGTCGATTTGCCAAGTTTTACTTGAGCATTTGAGAAGATTTTTGCACACAGATGTGGCTCAGGGTGTTATTGTCCTTATAGCAACTACCTAGCCAGAGAAAAGTTCAAGAACCTATTCAAACTTGCATTTGTTCTTTTGCGAAAAATTTCATCCTCTCAAAATTACCGTTCTCACATAGAAAAACTTTTGGAATGAGTAGTTCTTTACGTTTTATTAGTAACTAGCTGATGTACCCGGCCCTGCCCGGGATAGTATCGTTCACCATCATTGCAGAGATGTGTGACATGCAAGACCATAATCTATCATGAGTTCATTTCCACATAGAAAGATTAGTGAACAAAGTTATACTTTAAAGCTATTTTGTTTGAAAATTATTAAGAAAGGCATATAATGCAGCATAGAGAATTAGGATTATATTTAGCAATGCAATCTGACTTCTTTTTCTTTCTTCAATGTTGTTGCACATTTCTTGAAAATAAAACAAATTTTGAAAAGTAAAAGTCCGAGTTACCTATATTACCTTTATTTTTCTTACACTTCAATTTAAAGCGCTCTGGTATACGATGTTCTTGGTCATTCCTTCTGTTGTGTAGATGTACAGATTCTGGGGCGATCCGACTCTTGAGCAGGCTACGTAAAGTTGACCGTGCGAAAAACAGGGATGTTCTAGGTCAATTCCTGCTACTTTGAGTGACTGTCCTTGCGCTTTATTTATAGTCATTGCATATGCAAGTCGCACTGGAAATTGTAGTCGTTTAAACTCGAAGGGTAGATTAGTGGAAAATAACGGTATGCGCGGAATACACGCGTGTTCTCCCTTGAATGTGCCAGTCAATATCGTCGCCTCGATAACATGTGGCATCAGACTTTTTACACACAGTCTTGTGCCATTGCACAGTCTTGGCGGGTCAATATTGCGCATCAGCATTATGGGCGATCCGATTTTCAGCTGCAGTTTATGCGTTGGAAAACCAGCAGGCTCGAGGGAATTCAAAAATTCTACAGGATAGTTCACCGCTTGTTCCTGGTCAGAAATGCTATCGATGGACAAATATGTGAAGATGGAGCCAGGAAGATTGGTTTGTATACGGACGTTTACAGTAGCCACGCAATCGTTCTTGGGCGCCAATATAGCACGCTCACAGAGCCAGTTATGGTCCGTGTAGTTGTCACAAATATTGGGGAAAACCTTTTCTATAAGTTCATCAAGAGACGACACTAAGTTACAAAAGTTTGCTGGAAATCTTATCGTGTCTGTATGAGGAATTGTCGCAAAGTTTCCATTGCCGATTGACAGAAGCTGCTGCGCAAACCTTTCTGCATTGATATCTCGTGATAAATGCGCACGCATGTTCGTGTTCAGAGTGAGAGTTTGCACGTGTCTCCAAAGCACAGAGGACTTGAGGCAAGCGTTAAGTTCATCTACCGCTGTAGCTCTGGGAATGACAGGCAAAGTCTGTCGGAAGTCTCCTGCTAAGAGCAAGACCAGTCCTCCCATAAGTTGATCGTTTTCCCTGATATCTTGTAAAGTGCGATTCAGTGCTTCAAGCGCTTTCTTGTGCGCCATTGTGCACTCATCCCAAACGATGAGCTTACATGACCGCAGTACTTGAGCTTTCCCAGAGCCTTTGCTTATGTTGCATATCGGAAACTCCGTTGACGTAAGGTCCAAGGGTAGTTTGAGCGCAGAATGAGCCGTTCGACCTCCTTGTAGTAGCGTAGCTGCAATTCCCGATGATGCTACCGCAACAGCGATTTCCCCTTGTCTTCGGATGTCTGCCAGTAGCAAATTGATGAGAAATGTCTTTCCCGTTCCTCCGGGGGCGTCAAGGAAAAACATCCCTCCAGCACCCCTAATGACCGCATTCATCAACGTCTCGTACGCCACCTTTTGATCTTCCGTCAGCAGATGTATGTTGCTTTCTAAGAATCTTTCGAGATACGCAGCGTCATAATTTCTTTCCCTTAAGACGTCATCGTCTAAGACATTGTCGCCGCGATCAGGGCTTTCTAAGCCTAGTTGATCTAGGGTACGTCCACTAATCGACATGCATTTGTCTTCAATAAGAATCAAAGCTTGATTAAAAATCTCCGGAGAGAACTGCAAGTCCAATGAAGAATTTCTGCGTCTTTCTCTAAGTATGTCCTCACTAAGATGCTCTTTATATTTGTCCCATAAAGTTCGCGGATTTGATGGAAAGCATGCTGTTATGATGATAGCAAAAAGACAGCGTAATTGCTCAGCATAACATGTGAGTGCTGCTTCTGACAGTGTCGTATCCCAATGCTCGTCGTTTTCGAGCAATCCAAGTCTCTGACAGGTTTCTCTAAACGTTTCGCATTGTTCTCCTTCGATGGTCTTGAGTGCTGCAAAAGATGTAGGACCGCGAATAGTGTGGAGTAGTAGCCGTAGATAGTAGCATTCAGCATTCCTTGGATGCACAGTGTACACCCGCCCTATAACGTCTGATGCGCGAACTCCATCATGACCGGGAACTGGCGTACCTTGTTTCCTTGCGCAAAATTTTTTTGTTCCTTTATTCCACGTAAAATACTTTGGTACTTCTGGATACAAAAGAGTTCTCGCGAATGAGTTTTCTTGACACAAAAGAAAGAATGCGGTTAGTGTTGTATGAGGCGGGTGAGCAATTCTTTCTTGTACGTTTTCAGGTGTAAAGTAAACTCTTTGGCCATTTTCTAGGTGGATAGCTAGGTGCATGACAGCGGGATATCTATCGTGTATATTGAAATTCAGTATACGCCATACCGCTTCGTTGCTGCTGATGTACCTTCCCATTTGGTACTGCGTAATCTCATCACTTGCTGCACTCCCTTCGAGGCGAAACACTGCCATATCACCGCCTTTGTTGACATACTTACAGATGTATTTGATTGACTTAACCGAGTTGCAGTATTCAACATTGATGTGTGCTTTGAACATTTTAGATAAGAGCGGCGAGTATGGTACAATCCACCTGTTATCGATATCAACCTCGAAGCACTGATCGGCTATTCTCATCCGCACTTTTGCTACGTGGCCTCCATCTTGTGGGCCTCGTCTCCTGTACAATGGGTATCCATCAACTCCTGTTTGCGTTTCTCGAATCAACTGTCGAGGATAGTTTTTAGTGCACCTACCATTCTTCATGCATGGAGAAATAGGATTCAGAGGGCCACACGGACCGTGAATCATGTGCTTTGAAACGACGTCAAAGAGAATCGGATCCTCGTCTCGATTAGGAAGTTCAGCAGATATGACAGCATCTACTTGCGTTGGATGAATCTTCTCTCTCAACCACACCAGAATGTGAGAGTGTGGGAGCCCTCTTTTTTGCCACTCGATGGAATACATCCAACAGCGAGTTTCACCAAAGATGTGGCTTTTCGTTACTACATCTATAAGTTTGGTCAATTTTTGCTTAAAAACTCTTGCTGTCAGATCATTTCTGTCGGAAGGAGCTTGACCTGGATACAGGTGCTCTGTGATTTCAGCCCACGTAGGATTACATGTGAAGGTGATAAAAAGATCTGGTCTCCCATACATACGAACGTAAGACATCGCGTCCTGTGCGTATTCATGCATATGTCTAGGACTTCCCGTAAAGGTAGCTGGAAGTATCACCTGTTGTCCAACGTTAGCCAAGTCTCCGTCACTGGCTACGGCGTCGCGTAAGTGAATATACTCTTCAACGCGCAGCTTTCTTTGGTTTAGTCGGATGAACAGGAGACGCTCCGTTTCTATCTTTGCATACATGTCAACGATATACTGATGATACAGCTGTCGACATCGTAGTATATGGTTAAATGACGTAGATCTAATCATCAATTGGTATGCATAGTAATCCATAGCTGAAATCTTTTTGTTTGCAGGCGTGTCTGTTGTAGGATCAACTTGCTTCAGATTGAAATGATACCCATCTTGTCCGGCCCAGAAGATTAGTGGGTATTGGAGAGCATCATAAGATCTGTGCGTCTCAGATATGCGCTGTAGGACATCGCTTCTTTTCTGGATGATTATATCGCGTCTATCGCATTCATTTCCCACTAAAACTACTGCCACTTCGTTAACACTTGGAGCGTTATAGCGCCTTTCATGCTCGTTAGTTGGCCTTTTATCTGCTTCTATGACCACCTTATAGTCGTCTGTTGGCATTTTTTCTAGAGCAGTCTTGAAGACATGTACCAAGCCATTGTGTCGATGCAACATGCTCTGTAGATTGGAGACAATGTTAATTCTAGTGCCAGGTACATATTCACACCTACGGCTAGCCTGTAGCTGCTCATCAGACACAAAGTAAAGCTGTAGAAACTGCGGAGATCGATCAAGAGGAGGCAGTAGCGAGCCGATTCTGTGGTAAATTTGTCCCTGCACTTTGAAGGTGGGCATAAATCCATCCTCGACAATCGTTGCACTTGAACCAAACGATGTCATTTGGAAGCAGGAGTTGTATTTCCTAATGTTTTGAAGGAAATGTTTAGAGTCCGATGTAGTCCCCTCCATGTATGACATCAGTGGTTCAGGAGGATTTTCCAGCGGTGGCAACTTAACTTTGCCATTTGAGCAGCACATCCCTGGGGATTCTGCTGCGAACTTCTTGGCCTGGCAATATCTACAGATCCTGTCCATCATTCCAATAATCACTTTCGGGTGGACAGAATAATCCCGATGAGGATCGTAGTTGAAGGCTGCTAGTCTCAAATCTGCCCATCTGTGTGACTGGCGAGCCTGTACACGTCGTTGTCGTTCAGAAAGTAAGCGCGATTGATATTGTTCAGAAGTTTCTAATGCACGCGAACGTCTTTGTCTGGAAGAATTAACGTCTAGTCTTGTCTGACGTTGTTCCGGCGTTTCTGTGGCTCGAGACGCAGCAACTCGTTGACGATTTTCTTCATTTTTGCCCTGACGATCCTCAGGGGTCTCTGAGGCTCTTATGTTCGCTATTCGTATACGGTTCTGTTCGAGTCTTTCTTGATGCTGCTCAGGTGTTTCCGCAGCTGTTAGTTCCGCGACGCGCAGGCGAATATCTTCAAGTCTTGCCCGACGTTGCTCAGGTGTCTCGGCAGCCCTTAGTTCTGCGTTTCTCCGACGATTTTCTTCAAGCCGCGCCTCATATTCTTCCGTTGTTTCGGACGCCCGTGCCTCAGACATTCTCACACGTTCATTTTCGAGGCGCCTTGCACGCTGGTCGGGGGTTTCCGCTTCCCTCGTCTCTCTCATTCGCTTCGCTCTGGGATCAACGCTTCCAATGTATGATCTCTTGGGCGGCATTGGGATGCTGTGAAAAGAAAATCCTTATCTAGCAGTTGCGCTTGAGTAAAAGAGAACGCACCTCTTTATACGTTACGTTTGCTTTATGAAAGTTTTAACAGTTTCGGATCAGTTTCTGCACTTATCAATAGCAAAAGAAGCTGAACTTGAACGATTTACTTATGGTCGTCACTTTTTGAAGGGCGGGAAGGGACAACGGAGCTAATTGGAGCAATACTTGAAATTTCAACAAACACACTATTCTTGAAAAAACATCGAGTCAGTTTGCTATTGGATTAGTAATTGATGCTCGACCCCTTTTTGCCAAAGCCATGCCACAACATCACTATCTTCGACGTCTCTTTTGAAAAGTAAGAAGTCCTTTGCTTTACTTTTCTTATCTATCAAACAATACAAACAAAAGCAAAGGGTTCTGCTTTTCAACAAAAAAAGTGGAATTGTCGCGCGTTTTCGCAGTAGATGCAGAGCTTGTTCTCCATGCATCACTAATTTTAACTGGTAGTTACCGGTATAGTTGCTTATGCATAATGAAATAATCAGCCTTTAACTCTCATTTTTCCGTCACTCATAACATTGGTCGGTAACTACTACCTTTTTATGATCGGTAACCATTTCCCTTTGATATCAGGATACGTAAAGAAGAAAAACACAATCATAGGGATGCCCGCGTAGGAAAAGTGGAACACACAGGATGACTGATGATCGACTCATCATGCAGTGTCAAAAACCTCACTGATAGGCTGGTAAGAACGACAACATTCATAATGATTATTATTGGCAATATTTGATGAGATGATTATCGTCGGTACCCGTAAGCCGACTGTCGGATCTGATCCTATGGTCCGAACCATAAAGGAACGACCCACGTGAGCTAAGTAGCTAGAAGAAATCTTAGTTTGAGACAATAGCTCAGCTTCAATCAAGTACGCATCTATACGTCCCCGCCTAACCTAACAAAACCGCTTTCCTTCAGGACAAACTGTACTTCCCTTAAATTGAGGCAAAAACCTATACCTGGGATTTCCTCCACCAATTTCCTTTTGCCAAGATAAAGAATGAGCCGCACTGCTCACTGTACAGCAAGTTATGAAATGATGGGATAGGGCCTTCATTTTTCCGCATGTACGTAAACAAATCAATAAATCGATAGAAGGACCCAACGAACTGCCGCGAAAAGTAGCCTATCTTGTGCGCCGTGGCTTATTTATATGGGAGCAAAATTCAGCTCAATCGGTCCACTCACAAAGATTTCTATAAAACACAAACATCTTTAGCAACTTACACACAAACTTTGAGTTTTATATATGTAAAGATATTCGGCATTGTCCGGTGAGTTCCAATGCCATCTTAAGGCATGAATGAGTAAGGCGTATAGAGTAGGACCAAAGCGAGCCTCTGCAAATCAGTGTAGTTCGTAGCGCAAGCTGTAGCCAGGAGTTCGAGCTGATTTTTTGGCTACAGCACGCCAGCAGCACCCAGTTAATTATGTAAAGAAGTGAGCGAATCTGTATCGGTTGCTGAAAATCGCGAGTTAAACGGATCCACCAGGCATTTGCTAAGGCAAACGAGATCCTAATTCAAGGAGTCTGCAGTTAACTGTAAGACTTTTAACTTGGACATCTTCTAAGCCCTGGAATTCAGCGCAGATACAGAGCAAAAAGTTAATTTCGTGCAAAAGTGGCGTCAAAAAAAGATGACTCAATTAATTGTTGATTTTCAAAGAACTCACTGTATAGTGGAAATATTTTAGGCTGGAAATGTAGTGTGCATCTGCTGTTGTTCTAATTAGTCAACACTGCATTGATAAAACGGATACAAAATTACACTAACCGTTTACCAAAAAGTATCGCCACGCTAATTTTACCGGTTTCACATGAAAACCGCAGAAAGAATGGTTGTTTACATCATATTCTTCATGATCAGAATTTTCCGGGGAGGTTGAAAGCAATTTGAGAGATGAGGCAGGGCGCTGTTTAGCTCTGAAGACAAGCATGGACACGCAGACCCGAACGGCACGATATTCATGGGGCGCACAGAGCCAGTACCTGCTGTGGGCGTGCCATACTTTGCCTTCCTTAAGAGAAGATGTTGCTCAAAACTATAGAGTAGGACCAGTGCGAGCCTCTGCGAAGCAGAGGTGACGCACTGTATTGAATAACTCTTGAAGCCTTGACACACATGACTAGATGAGAAAAATAGATAAACAAAGAAGCAAAATTTGAGCTAATAATACACATAAATTTATTTGTCACTGAAAACGGCTACGTTAGAATTGTAAAAGTCTTTCGAGGGAGTACAACTGTTCTGCGCAAAGTCAGTGTAGACTTTAACCTGCTATCCTAGGGTTGAATTCTACCTTGAACGCACAATGCAATGTTATGGAGAAATGATGACTGAGGTAAATTTTGACCTTAAGATAGATTGATGAACACAGGTTTATGCGTTTCAAGGTTGATTTCTACCTCAAAGTAGACTTAACCCATGAGAAAATTTCATTGCGATCATGTTGCGAATACTGGTTATAAGCCAAAATGCTAAATTTGGTAGATTGTACGCTTAAGGGTTTTTGGTGATTACGGCCATTAGAGAGCTGTCCTACTTAGGATAACCGTTCGAAGCGATCAACAACCATAAACCCTCTGCCTAAGGGTCTCCCCTTCTTGTTTACCCAGGGTCCCTAGCAGATTCGTCTGCCTCGGGTTAAGCTGGTCAGTCAAGCCCTGGTATCTTCTGCCGTCCCACTGCGTCAGGATAAAGGAAAGGAACTTGTTAAAAACACCCTCACTTCTTGAGAAAGGAGAACGACCCAACCCCATTAGCAAGAAAACTGTAATCTTCTTCGGCATGCTATGATTTTTGGATGACATTTGCACGCTTTTTTGGATGTTTTTTACCTTCGGGCGCACTATCGTGTATAACATAAATAAAGAAATAATTCTGCTAAAGGAATTGAGGAGAGCTTAAAAAACTACACACTCTAACTTACACATCTGAATGAAAATATTCAAATTTCAAAAGCATTCGCGCTGTCTCAAACGCAGCAGGATGTATTCAAGCCACGCATAAACTTACAAAGATAATTAAACAGTGATTCCTCCTCACAACTCAAAAGTCTTCAGTCATAGAAATGAGTTAAAAAAGAAGCAAAGTAGAAACTGAGAAAGTGAATAGACTGAAATGTTCAGAAGTTTGAGAAAGCCCAGAGACAGCAGCCTAACTCTGTAAGTACCGTTAGAACAACGATACATAGAGCATAAGGAAAATTCTATGAAGCTAGCTTTCACACTTATATTGACAATAGCGTATAGATTCTCATTCAGAAATTTAGTTTCCTTGAGTAAATAGTTTTCTCACATATATCAATATGTTTGTGTTGTTCTAGAAGACTTGTTACCAAAGGAATAAAGCAAGCTTTACGTAGTTCACCAAAGATTCATCTAAATCGTAATTTATGTGAAGTTTGATGCCCTAGTTCAAATTTTTAAATTTTCCTAAAAAACGGATCTCTCTAGAAGGTTCCTGCGGACCTCCAACGTCGTAGATTAGATACTTAGGCTTCCGCCAGAGTGCCGAAGCCATGCCAGCGCTACGCCAGCGCCGAGCCAGCGTTTCGATCGATACACGTGTATTTCGTTGGGGCGGGGCTAGCTGACCTTTGTTCTCAGCAGGTAGATGTCCCCACGAAATACACGTGTATCGATCGAAACGCTAGCTCGGCGCTGGCGTAGCGCTGGCATGGCTTCGGCACTCTGGCGGGAGCCTTAATCTACAATATTTGTTTTTGCAGACTCATCTAGTAAGTTATATTCAGTATCTATTAGCTTGTCGTTGACAAACGTAACTGTTCACTGACCAGTAAAGCCGCCAAGTCACCCTTCACTGTGCTAGATAGTCTACTTGGCGGTGTCTACTAAGGCAATCCAGGCAATCCTTGATTCTGTATATTCTGTTGTTTGCCAGAAATGAGAATTCAAGTTATCCACCCCAAAATAGTGGCATGGAAGGGCCTGAATGCTCAGTTCTGGTACTGATTCGATATCGACTGCTGGACAAATTATAGGTCCACTCTAAAAAGTGCCATAGCTCACTCTGTTGTCAATAAAATGTTCCAAAATTCGGTACAGCCGTGTGTTTACCAGCCTACTATCAGTCATCAAAATGGGTCTCGTTTTCGTTTGGTTATTCAAGAAAAAATTGTAAATTTTGAAAAAAGTAGGCTTGAAGGCTGGACAAAATTATAGGTTCACCTGGAGTTTTTACTGATTAAAGCACTTCTTAGCTCCCGAATTTCTTTAGGTAGGTACATATCCAAAAACGTTAAACAGCTGCTTTAGTCAGGCTGTGTCATACTTCCAAAAAGAACTGATTATCTGCTTTTTTGCCTACAAAATGCTTTCACATGTATTTCGCTCCACAAACCTGTGTTGAGTAAGAAATTCTGCGGTTTCTCAGCTGAATCGGAAGGAACGGGGTTTTATCTACCTTCTGGATGCTTTTTGACGTAAACATTGAAGAAAAATCAGACTTTTTGCTGCTGAAGCAAATCCGACATTGACAATACTGCAATTCTGAGCTCAAATTCCTGCTCAAACTTCTTTTGCGATGTTCTCAGAAGCATAAAATAAAGTAAAGGCATTGTTTCTACGAAGGGGAGTCCGTATTCCATGGTCACAACTTTCTACAGATCCTAGCATTCGAGTATAATTACTAAAATCACCCTACAGAAGCTCATTACGATAAGCACCAAAGCTATTTGTGGCTCCGACCAAAATTTTCAGAAGAATCATGTGCTACACACACTACAAGCTATATCCACTATCTAGTAAACAATTACTGTCAAAAATCTAAGTGAGGCAGCACTTGGCAAGTTATTTGGATCTGCGTAACACCATCATTACGTTGCACACACAACTCATGTTTCGAAAAAGAAGCAGGCAGCTTTGTGGACACTTGCGAGTATGGCGAACAGCTTTTTTCTTTTGTAAAGAATGCTTCTACAA